GCTACTGGGTGTCCAGTCTTGGACGTATCCAGCGAGGCATCCTTCAGATTACTTACAATCTCCGACACTCAATGCAAATCGCAGGCACACTTTACGCTAGTTACAAAAAAAAACACACCCGTGCAAAGAAACGGATCAAATACATGTCAAGGCCGGCGCACAATAGATACGTTTTCGGGTTTTTTGACAGTTAGTCCATGCATTATCTGTCAAAAAACCCAAAAACGTATCTATTGTGCGCCGGCCTTCACTCTCGCGAAAGCACACCCGTCGTCGCCGAACGACAAAAAAAGGAATCGGTGGGCAATTGTGTGATACGGATTTCCAAAATCAACCGGGAATGAACGAATTTCACCACAACCAACTACGAAACACGTTCAGAAACACTTGGTACACTTTCGTCCGAAAACACTAAAATTTTTTCAAAAATTGTTGCGAGTGAACCATCACCGCATAAATAAACTAAAATTAAAATTATCGCTCGCGATGCCACAAATTTCTGGACCGGGAGAAAAAATCAAATAACGCAGATAGCGTCAAATCTTCTGTGGCTTGCAAACATGATGAATCATGTTTTCTTTCTCGATTCTAAAACTTCTCGGAAAGTAAGAAAACCACCACTCACACACGTATAACCGTCCGGGAGGCAGAGTGCCAGCGCTAATCCGGCAAATGCAGCCGAAAACTATGAAAACGAATGCACGCACAAAACAGAGAACAAACTACAACGATTAAAATCACTTCCAAGTTCCATAAAGTTCAAATAAAGTTCCAAGAGAACTTTCAAGTTCCATAAGGTTCGAATAAAGTTCTGACAGAACTTTCAAGTTCAAATAAAGTTCCCACAGAACTTTCAAACCACGTGAAGCAATCCGCACAAGTCTTTATTAGTAACCAAATTTAATGTACGTAAATATGAAATGATCAGTGGCCCGAATAAATCATAATTCTTATACTTATGCAGTGCATCAACATTCTATCCAAACATAAAAAATAAAGTATTTCCTGGTTTAGAACCCATGAATTAGGCATGCGATCTACGATTGCTAACCCCTGCACCACAAGTTTGTTGGAATATAAGCGGGCAAACACCAATTTAAAATTCATCTAAGTGTTGTGTTTCATATTCAAGTCAGTCAGCTGGCACTGAAAACAGTAGGCGGGACAACAGCTCATTTTAATATATCTCAGATGACGTAGCAGTTCGTGCTGGGGCCTCACGCAGAAGGACTGGGTTTAATTCTTCAAACAGCTTAAATTCTACTACTAATGCTGATAAATCCATACACATCAATACCTGCCTTTAGAAATAACTTTCATAAAAGTGCGAACTAAATATAAAATTGGTGTAGAGGACAAAAACCTTTTTTTTAATTTATTTTCTAAAAGTTCCGTTCAAGTTCCGCCAGAAGCTGCTTAGAATGCTCTTTAAGTATGGTACCGGAACTTTCAAGTTCTTGTAACGACTTAAAAATGAGGCTGCTTAAAATTCTATAGACCACCTTCAACCAAGCTGCTTAAGCCACAAATGGCCTTTTATCAGAACTTTTGGTTACTTGGGAATACATTCCCAGACGATCTTTGATGTACATTTGTAAACACTCAGTGCTTTCAGCGCTACTTGACTATCAGAAAAATACAAATATTTGCACATCTGTATTTCCTCCTCAGACAAACATGTACACATTCAAGCATGGATACAATTTCCGCTTGTAACACTGTTGGAAAATGTCCCATCGCAACTGAAATATTTGTCCGGGGCCAAAGATTCCTGCACCTGTTCGTATTCCAATTTTTGAGCCATCTGTGAAAAATATCATTAAGCCTTGACGAACGTTAGGACCACCAGTTCCCAAACCGAACATGCCGTTTCACATACGTTGAAGGGAATTTCATAGTTGTCCTCTGGTTTCATCCAGTCTCCATTCATACTCATCACTGGTCCTCTTTGGAAGTGTTGTAAGATGCTTAGATGACCACCAAGATCACCTGGCATGACTTTTTTAGATCTTTTGAGCCTTAGAGCACTTCTTTCCGCTTCTAGTTGCACATGTTCATGCAAGGGCAGCAGATTGAGGATTGCTTCTAGTGCTTTTGATGGGGTGCTACGCACCGCACCCGTTATTGCAATGCATGCTAGAAGTTAAAGTTTTGTTAGTTTCCTCTGTGGAGTAGCCTCTTTTGATTTTGGCGACCACACTAACGAAGCATACGCTACTTTCGGACAGATTATTGATGTGTAAATCCATATTGTCATTTTTGGTTTCAAACCCCACTTTCTTCTAATAGTTTCTAATAGTTTTGTAGCATGCCACAGCAATCACAGAATCAAGCTGAGCATTCCAATTCAACTTGGCGTCCAAAATAACTCCTAGGTATTTGACCTGTTCACTAAGATAGATCTGCTCTCCTCCAAGATTGAATTCTTTTGGGTTAATCTTCCTCTTTCTAGTAAAGGTGATGATTACGACTTTTGATGGATTAATACTTAGGCCCTCTTTATAATGCATCAAAACTGGGTAAACTTTAGGGCCTCTTGCATTCTTTCAGAAATGATAACGTCAAACTTTCCTCTCACTGTAATGACTATGTCATCCGCAAAGCCCACAACTTCGAAACCTTTTGCTTCCAGGCTTCTTAGAAGATCATCTACAAATAAAGACCACAGCAGTGGTGAGAGAACTCCTCCTTGAGAACAACCTTTCGTTGCCTTTACTGTTGTAGATGAGCTACTCAGCCCAGAAGTGATTTCCTTTTTTGCAAGCATTGTCTGAATCCAGTTGACGATGCACCTATCGAAGTTCCTTGCCTTCATGGCGTAAACCATAGAGGAATAGGATGCGTTATCAAAAGCTCCTTCAATATCCAAGAAAGAGCAGAGTGCAATTTCTTTAACTGAAAGAGAGTTTTCAATTTTTGTTGGAGAGCAGTAACTGTTGACTTTCCGGATTGATACGCAAACTGAAAATTAGATAATGGATGCGTGAACATGTAAGTTTAATTGATGAAATCATTCAACATCTTTTCCTTAGTCTTTAATAAAATTGATGAAAGACTGATGGGCCTGAATGATTTTGGATGCGTTCAATAGCTTTACATACTATATGGAAATATGTTCCAAATAGTTATATAGTATATTGAGTGACTTATGAAGGATCAAAGTGAAACATTAATCAAAAAGCCATTTTTTTTCACAAAAGTGCTTTGGGCCAGGTCATGTGATAAGCAAATGAGCTGATTTTCTGCACAGAGACTTCTGAGGCATACAGAAAGTGAATTATACATGGGAAGCATAAAAATTGAGAACATTGCTGAAAAATGGGACAGCCTAGTGAACAGTGCCTCAAGAAATTGATGGTACAGCCTTAAATTTACGAAAATCAGCTCTGCAGGCACATTGATAGATAGATAGGTAAAATTCTGCAATCTTGGCTGGATGATCAAATATTCTAGATTTATCGGTATAGTTTTGGGCTTGATTGGATGATTTTCAATAAAACTACAATGAACCAAGTTTTCTGTCGGTTCTACAAAGAATATGAAAGAACAGCTCATCCACTGCGAAATAAAAAAGTTTGTATCGCTGCGCCATCTTTGCGGCCATAACTTATGCCAAATGGGCATTATGCCAAACGGCGTTATGCCAAGCGGTATTATTCGAAATGGAGTACCTCCGTCGTTTTGAATACAGTCGCTTGGTTATTATCATGTGACATAACAGTCCTTTGGCATAATGCCGTGGAAAAATGTTCATTCCTTTATTTAACGTCGGACTCTGTTCCGCAATCTAGTTCCAATCACCGACTGACCATATAGGTAACTCTAAAGGCCCAAACGCAATGTGGGCGGAAGCGGAACGGAAACGCAAAGTTTGACAGTTGTCACAAATGACATCAAGATGACTAACCGAAGTCGATTTGATTCTAACTAGTTTTCAATCCGACAAGTAGGCTTACTCAGATCGGGCTTTTCCGCTGCCGCTGCCGTTCCGCTTCCGCTGTCATTGCGCTTGGGCCTTAAGACTAGTAGGTCCCGAAGAAAGGTGCTCAACTTTTTGGCTCAGCTCAGGTACTCTCTTCGGTCCCAAGCTAATCGATGCACCCCTCGAAACATAGGAAAATCCACGAACCCCTCATTTCATCTCAGTTTCAGCACGTTTCTTCGGGACCTGCTGGTCTTAGAGTTACCTCTATGGTATAGTACTAGAATTTCAACTAGAATGGGGTACATTAATCGTTTGCTAGGGGCAAGTCAGCTGTATTCTGAGCTAATATTTTAACATTGAGTAACTGTGAGCTACTCGTAGCTACTCAAAAAATAACAAAGTAACTTTAATTTAACTTTTTTCAATCTGTCGTATTTCCAAACAAAATAACGTCAACCATCATTAACAGTTTTGTTTAAGATTTAGATTAAAAAAAACTGAAAACGTTTGTCTATATTCCAACATCGATCATACGAACTCCAACAACTTATATGGATTTACAGGAATGACCAGGGAATGATTGCATAGTTCTTCATTCTATTATTTGAACATTCGGTAGTAACGACAACGATAGTAAAAAATCAATTCCAGAAAAAAATAAAACCGAAAATTTATCATTCGGACATTTTTTTGCGTCCGGTGCAGAGCACATTTCGATCTTTTATAAAGGAGATACTCCTTTCATTTTGTAAATGTTCGAAGAAAGAAGAATTACCTTCTATATCAAAATATTCGACTTGATGGAAAAATGGTTTTCCGGAAGAGGACCATCAAATATTCAAAGAAGGAAATATTCTCATATTTATCAAAGTACCATTTTCCCATGTACTATGCCAAACGATTGTAAGGCCGAACAATGTTATGCCGAACGGCTTTATGTGAAACGACTATTATATGCCAAATGGGATAGACCCAATATGTTGTACAGGTCTGGACTGGGGCCTGGGCGAATCTTCTACTCGCTTTTTTTTAGCAAACAAAAAAATCGGAAGAATGTTCATCATTTTTTGCTGAATAAGTAACCAGGTATATTTGCATTCAATTCGATAACTTTTCCATAATTCATAATACAGTGAACTCTCTATAACTCGATATTGAAGGGACCGTCGAGTTATAGAATTATCGAGTTATAGAATAACAATCCCATCACAGTAGCCATGAAATTATTTTTTACTATGGTTCTATAACTCGATATCGAGATAGTGGACATCGAGTTGCGGAGAGTTGACTGTATAGTAAAACGCTACTTCTTAGTTTACTTTTCATTCTACCGCGTCGGGGAAGGTTCTTTGCTATTGTTATCACTTCCACCTTCCAGTCGCATCTTTTTGTTCCCCCGCTTGAGGGCCTTCTGTTCCATCTCTTCGAAATGACTGATAAACATCGCCTTCAACGCTGGATAGAACAAACTCAAGTGGGGCAAATCGTCCAACGTCACTTCCATATTGTCAAACGCAATGCCCAAATTCATCTCCAGTTCCGATTCGATACGCGGAATCTTCGCGTAACGCTGGCTGAAATGTGTCAGCAACGTGTACTTAGCGCCCATCTTCCTGCCCTGTTCGATCGCTTGCGTCAACGTGCTGTGCATTTTGATGCGCGCTTCTGCCTCCAGCTCGTCCTCCATGGTGGCTTCGTGGATGAGGATAGTGGAGCCCCGACCGAGGTCTACCAAATCTTGACAGGGCATTGTATCGCCACTGTAGGTAATCTTGACCGTTTCTCCCGGTTCCCCTTTCTGGCTCGAGTTCATTTGCAGGGCTACACCGAACGAGTGCGGACAATGACGCACCCGGCAGGTGGCTATTTCCGTCACACCAAGATCGAGAACACGTTCGTCCCGGAGCGGTTGATCAACCTGAGAAAGTATGATAATCTAAGTTGAGTCAAGAAAATGATATGAGAGTAAAATGTACCAGTTCGGCGTTCTTTACGAGCACGTAATCTCGATGCACTGGTTCAAACCGACAGTCGTACAGTCTCAACCAATAAGAAATTTGCTCGGGGGCTATCAGCAGAATCTTTTCATTGTTGGAACCCAACAGTTTGCGTTTCGTCTGCAGTAGTGCAAATAGACCGAGATGATGATCCGCATGTAAATGCGAGATGTAGATCGCTTTGAGGCTTCTAAATACATGCTCTGCTCGTTCACTGCCGAAGAACCGAACAATCTGACCAGCGGTACCTTCTCCGCAATCCAACAGGATCGAAGAATCAGGACTAGTGTGCACCAAAATGGCGCTGACATTTCGAGTTTTGTTCGGAATCGACGATCCGGTACCGAGGAATACAACACGAGGGAATTTCTCAGCGCGAGCTACCTGTTGCTGCGACTTACGCTCCGTCAATTTCTGCTGAAGTTGATTCAAGGCTATTTTAAAATCCGGAAGTACTTCCAGCTCCTGAAGGTACTCGGAGGGATTGAGAATTGCCTCCTGGGTACTGAAATATAAATTTTGATTCGGTTTATGTGTGCTATGAAAATTAGAAAGCACATTATGTATACCGATCTATTCCTTTCCTCGGGCGAACGTGAAGATAACTAAGCGAAGAAGATCTTACTAAATCACAGTCTTGTATTGTGGTGTCCTGTTTGTTGTAATCGTTGTTCTCCTCCTTCAGCAAAGGAAATATGTGCTTATCTAACTGATTCAAATGGTACTGAATCCTATGGGAAGCGATGTAACCTGAAAAGCTGTGGGATACATCGTTTGGTGACCAGTCCAATTTCTGGAACATTCCAAAAAATACCTGTTGATCTCGTTCAAGGCAATATGCCTCGTACTCGCAGAAAATCTGTCCATAAACTTCCTGTACTCGGGCTTTTGCATCACCTCCAATGGACTGAAATGCAACACATACATAGCTTGATCCGATTCCTCGGTAGCCGTGCTCTGGTAAGGAGCAAACGCTTCATTCTTATCTTCCAAATCTCTCAAATATTCCTCGCTGGGAATATCGATAAATATAAATACCGGTCCGGGATCATCGGGCCCACGAACGTCGCTGGATTTCACCACGGTTCCGTTAGTAAGCGTAACGTCGTTTCCATTTTTTAGCAGTCCCAGCAATGGGCCCGGCGTAACACCTTTGTCAACGCATTTCTCCAGCGATAATTGCCCAAAGCGTAGCTTCAGTTTGCAAATGTACGCTATCACAGATTCTTCGTGTCGTTTGGTCCAATCTTGACGCGCCACCGTAATTCTTGCCTTGGGCTCCGCCTTTTTCCGTTTCTCGTAAGCGTAATAATCTGTATCGTCAACAGTGGTCTCCTCAACTTTATCCTCTTCGTCGGAATTCGAAACAGATTGCGGTTCCCTAAAACAGAAAACAGAGTCATTATTGATGCTCGCGAAATAAGAACTTCAACTTACCGATGGATAGCCACATATTTCAAACTCATCACATGGTCATCGAACACATCATCCGGTTTACATTCCGCAGCTTCCACTTTCATATCCTTTAAGATCACAAACCTTCGCATCGCCTTGAAAAGTTCATCCAACCCTGGTGGTCCATGCAACGTCACACTCGGCACTCCCACATCCTGCATGGTCAGACAAATTCCCGGTAGGCCGCCTATTCGTTCCCAGCAAGTCCTGGTCATGAAGATATTCTCCAAGCATGACAATTTTGTCTTATGCTCATACGCCAACCGTTGCGTTCCTTCGCCACAGTTGAACAAATACCTCGTCTGATCACTGAATAAATAAACCGATGCCGGAGCACCCGGTGCTCCAGAGCCCACAATCTGTAGGTTCACAATCCCCGGAGATGCTTTGATTACCTTCTGCTTCAACTTCAGTCGCTGCTTTTGAGCTTCCGCAATGTGCTTCGGATCCAGTGGCATTTTGCTGGGAAACGATTTCCACTTAGGTTTCGATTTAGATGAATAGAACCGTATTACGGTGGCACTACAAACTACATTGGATCTTAACGTGGCCAACAGTTTATACATATAGACTAGTGAGCGGAAATGTCACGACACTTTCAAAAGTTAAGTAATGCTAATGTTACAAATTATTGATGCAAGCGTGATAATCAGCCGGAATCACCGCAGCAGCTGGCAGTCCGGGCCGAGCAGATCCAAAACAAAACAACGTGTCGTAAGAACTGTCAACATTTCATCATCAGAACGATGCGTGGAAAAATGATGACCAATGATTGTTGATAAGTGATATGGAGAGTAGGGATGCCCAACATTTTCAAATTGGATAGTCGATTTGTGTATGCGTACACTGAAACAAGGACCATAGTTAGAAATACTATTTTGCAGAAAACACTTATTCTCAATACTCTCAGGTCTATTTTTACACGGGGGAAACGTACCATGTAAAAAAAAAACCGTGTAAAAAAAACCGTGTAAAAAACCTACGAGATTTTGATTTTTCACATCAGGCATAACATTTGATAACGGCACAAAAGCATTTGTAAACAAACTTTCTAAGGCCCTTTACACGCGAACCAAAGTATGCCCACGCAAACCAATACCACTTTCAGAGAGGTTATAGTTGCCCCTATCCGATGATGTTGTTGGTTTGCGTGGGTGTACTTTGGTTCGTGTGTAAAGGGCCTTAGAAAGTTTGTTTACAAATGCTTTTGTGCCGTTATCAAATGTTATGCCTGACATGTTTAAATGTTTTTAAAAAATCGGATTTTGATGCCATTTGTAATTATAGCATGCTATGTTCCATATAGACATATTTTAAAAATTTCTGTATGTACACCAAATTTTTTTTTCTAAGTATGCCATTCGATTACCTATAGCTTGAAACGGATTATGTGATTGAAATCAAGTCGATATGTTGTATCGTTGTCGAGAAATCGTTAAAAACGTACCGTGTAAATCGCAAAAAACCGTGTAAAAAAAAACCACGTAAAAATAACCGTGTAAAAAAAGACTTCAGTGTATAACCATGCTTATTACCGTTAGATCTACTATGAATTCAATATAGTTGACAATGAATGTTAATAAATTTACTATGATTCTGGCAAAACTACTATGCTTGGTCAAAATGCATAGTAATTTTGATAGAAATAATGGTAAAATTAAATGAAATTGTTTTCTGCACAAATCTATTGGTGAGTGTATTTAATTTAAACCAGCAATATAGTATTTTTACCAATGGATTTTGTTTCAGTGTATGCGATTTGTGTATTTGTAAATCTATTAACTTGCTTCGTTTTCCACCGCGACCAGAGCGGTATTTTAGTTATGTTGATACATACAATCTTTAATATAATTATTGGACATAATATGTCCATATTATGACTGTGCGCATCAATATATCGATCAATATTGCAAATCCATTGCTCATCAGGTCGCAATAATAAGCAAAAGAAGCAAATCGATTTTTGATCGACAGAAGCAGATAAAACGTTAACCGAGGCGAGTCCAAGTATTACTGTCTTGGTGACTACCACTTCAAATTCTCACACACAAATCTCGGACACTATTACCATAGAGGTAACTCTAAGACTAGTAGGTCTCGAAGAAACGTATTACCATAGAGGTAAATCTAAGACCAGTAGGCGCGCCAGTAGGTCCCGAAGAAACGGGCTCAACTTTTTGGCTCAGCTCTGGTACGCCCTTCGGTCCCAAGCTAATCGATGCACCCCTCGAAAAATAAGAAAATCCACCAACCCCTCATTTTATCTGTCAAAATTTCATAGCGAATCAAAACAAACATAGTGTAGTACTAGAATTTTGACTAGAATGGGATACCTTAATCGATTTGCTTGAGACCAATAGGCTAGTCAAGCAGTGAATCCTTGAGTGATATTACGATATTATAATATACTTTTTTTTTATCTGCAATAGCTGCAATTTCAAAACCTACGACTGGATGCCTCGCTGGATGCCTTCCTTCAAATAACAACTGGAGTGCGGTAAAAATCGGTAGAACTGTTTCAAACACATCGTTGGTACTTGAGCGCTCGGCGATCATCTATTTTTACCAGTGGTGGCGGGGGGGGGGGGTACACCCCTCACCATCCCTTTCCAAAGGGGGAGTTTGGTAAAGAGAGATTTTTTTTTTTTTTTTTTTTCTTTATTTTAGAGATTTTTAGCCTGAGGCTAGTTCATCTCTTAGGTAAAGAGAGATGATAAAACCGATTTGAACCTTCCTAAAAGTTGTCCTAGCTCGCTGTCTACTCTCTATATGCAATTTTCACACTGCCGATCTCTAAACGGAACTATCAATTCTATACTTTCATCTCCTCCTCATCTATCGTGTAAAAATAATACCACTCTTTGAAATTAGCATCTTCAACTAAATTACTTTTGTTTTTGCTGTATACTTTATTTCTTGATTTTGAGTTGTTTCGTTTCACCGTATGTACAAGTGAGTATGAAGTGACATACTGAGTTGATATGGCTGGCCGTGCATTCAAATTGCCGGACCTGTTATCAATACATTGGGTCAGGTGAAGACTCTTCAAAATTTGAATGCTCAAATTATTCAAATCGAAAACAAACAGAAGATCGAAACTGATCAACGCAACGGATGGGCTTATTTTATTCGACGATTTTATTTGGTTCCATTACTTCTTGTCAAATATGTGTTTAGTTAAATAAACTAGAGCAACAATGGAAGTATTTGAGTTCAAAAAATCCCTACTAGTGCGACAGCAAGAAGCGCTCCAGGTCCTTGGTGCTCGAGATGTTCCCATGCCAGCATCAACCGTTCGAAAAGAGTGGGCGCTCTTTCTGGAAATAGCCATGGAACCAACGGGATGGCAAGCACTATGGCGGATTCCTCGTCTCGTGTGCCAAGAACTATCGACCAAATTTCCCACAGTCGTAATGGGAACTGTCGAGAAGGTCAGTACGATCAACGTTACCGACTGAGAGGGTCTAGTACCGACGATCGTGTCCAAATGTAATTTACAAATATTTTTTCTTAGGTACTATTTGACGACCTGAAAGCAATACTCGTAGTGGAAGCAGTCGAAAATGATGATTTCCACCTGCCAGAAAAACAGATAATCCCACTGTGCGACCTGTGGCCACTAAAACATCAAAGGATCGAGCTTCTCAACATCGATCGCACGGCGGATTGCATCGATCAGTTGAGATTCTTCTACCAGCACGTCTGGATGCCTTGGGACTACGACGACGACGACGAAGATCGAGACTGGCCCAAGAAGCATCTAGAAAGCAGAATCAAATTCTACTGTGACCTCAAGAATAAAACTATGCCCAAGCGATTGACTTGCCATGTATTGACTCTGCTGGACGAAGCCAATCAACTGCAAAAGAAGCGAGAATTGCTTGAACTCGAAACTGAAGACGAAGATGGAACCGATCCGACCGAGAATAATTCTGCAAGCGATTTGCTGAAAATCCATCTTCGTCTCAACTCGATCAAGAACGTAATCGAAACGCTGGAGTTCTTTGCTCCAGAAATGAGGACAATATACGAACAGGTTTGCTTCCCCAAGGAAACCTACTATTCCGAGGATCATCCTCAGGACCCTTCGGCTTGCATAATTACGCACGTCGGGTCGCTGGATGATCAGATTGAATACCTTGAAATAACCAAGAAAACAATCGGTCATCAAAAGCTAGTACGAATCTGCGATTCCCTGCAGGAAGCTCTCGATAGGAGCCGAGCTTCAGACGATATCTACTTACCCCCTGGGCAACATGAGGTGAAGCTTTTCGAAGATCTGAACGGTGATGGTTCGATACAAGCTATTGGTAGCGATCAAACGCAAACCGTGATCCGATGCAGACAGGATGATACTGTTCTGTTAACACTGGCTGGAGATTACCGCTTGGAGAATATTACTCTCGATTGTTCCAACGTCCAAACGGGTATTCTGGTGAAGCGTGGAAATATAACGTTCAAAAATTGTTGCTTCACCGGTGATCCGAAGGACATAGCCAATCATGGAATTCTTGTTTGTGGTAAGTGTTTCACCGGAAGGTTAAGGCGTTTCATTATCAAATGTCAACCTGTTACTTTCAGGAAACGGAACAATCCGTCTTGAGCATTGCGTCGTGGAGAATTTCTCCTTCGGCATCTGTGCCAACAGCAGATGCAACGTTCAGCTACACAACAGCACCGTTCGGGATTGCTTCGAGGGAATCAAAATTGTCGATGGCTGCAGGCTTGAAATCAGCTCGTCAGCGGTCGTAAACTGTCGAAACTACGGAACCATTCTGGAAATGGACGACGACGACGACGACGAGAAGGATGAATCTGCCGGAGAAACTGAGGCGGTCCAATGTTACCAGGACTATCGGCAACTGCGAGAATGGAAGGAATTTGTCTTCGAAGGTGCTTGCCAGTTTCAAAACAATGGAAACGGAAACTTTGTAGTTTTTCGGAACGATGTGGGGCAGTAACAATGTCATATTTTATTCAAATATATTTTTTTAAATAATTGTAGCTGCCGTGATATCTTACTTACGTATCCTGGCCCTGGGCACCTTCAGTGGTGCAAAAGGCCAAAGTGACAGTCTTCCATTCTGGGTGGATGCTTGTTTTTGCTTCAACCTGGGCCCAGCGCTTGCTTGCAGATTTCGTTTCCATATGAGTTGGTTTCCATGTTCGGTAGTCCTCGCGGACCGCCTTGAGCGGCATGCTTGGCCTCTATATCGTGGGAGAAGTATTCCACCTTCAATTTGTCCAGCTTAACTTGAACTGCATTGTAGTTGTTTTTCGCCGGGACCATCAGTTTGTAGCCCTCTACCAAACAGACGTAACTCTTTCTGCTCAATCGTCCTACACGTTCAATTGAAATATTATCAGTTTTGCGAATCCCCCACCACATCGCTGGCATCGGACCACTTAGACTTTTCTATACATTCTGTCGAACTTGTATGCAACATTGTTTGAGACTTGGCAAGCAAGCTTTTTTCCGCGAATAGGTCGCGAGATGTCGCTAGTAAGTTCCGTGACGATATATTTAAGGAACATTTATTTAAAGAGTTACGTCTGTTTGTATGAGGTGATTTGATTTACAGATGTAATCGTCAATCTTATCCCGCAAACCGTCCAGGAGTCCTTTTACGGAGAACGGTGGAAGTTTCTCAATAGGGCGTAAGGATTGTTCGCCAGCAGCTTCTACGATCAAATCTCCTCATCCATTCATGTATGAGTTAGGCAAAAAAGTTTGCGTTTGACTACTGTCGCATTAATGGTCCATCGCTCATTTTCAACTTCAATTCAATTTTCATACTACCGTACTCTAGTTAATAAACTATCACACTAAAGCTTCATGTTAAAAAGCATTTTCAACCAACTCTTAGCTTCTGCGATGCTGATTGAACGTCGACAGCGTCTGATCGGAATCGTTTCCCGTTCGGAATTGCACTCGTGTCACCACGCTATTTCCTCATGCTGGAGTCTAACAATGCGTCACTTGACATAACGAAAAAGGGCGCTATACACTGAGGCCTATTCTGCGCTGAGAGGCGAAAAAGTCGCAGGCTAAAAGCCTCATTAATAAAGAAAAATTAACTTTACTTATTCTGCGCCGGGAGTAAGGTGAAGTGACTCGTTGTCACTAGTGAGGTGAGTGGTTCTACCTAAATAAAACAAGTGAAAATTACTAAATTAAAATGCATTTTTCCCTTTAGAGTTTTTGTTTTACGTTTGTACCCTATTTGAAATGAGCAAATAATGTAAAAACAAAATCAAGGATCTGTCCAGAGCGGCACCGATTGTGTAGTGGTAAGCGTGATTGCATCTCACCCCAAAAGGCCTGGGTTCAATTCCCAGTCGGCGCCACCGGGATTTTGTAAGGCATAAAATCTCTGATCATGCCTTCATCAGAAGGGAAGTAAAGCCGTTGGTCCCCGGTATGAGTTTGATGGGTCGATAGGTAGGGTCCAGATGTGGTGGGAGCTGCCTCCCTGGCGTCGGTAGCATTGGTGGTACTCAGTACGGAATCGACGGAAAACAAAAAACAAAACAAGAGAGAAAAAAAAAGAATCTGTCCAGGACAGAGCGGGTGCCGAAAATGCGTTTTGAAGCTTAGCGGTAACTTTAATATGTAATAATATAAAAAAAAATGAAAATGCAACCTTTCAAACGGTTAAGGACTAAGTTCTTTCCTTCTACTACAACATAACCCGCCGCAAACCAGTCCCATTATATTTACACGGATATATTTATTTCTAAAAATATTCTTTCATCATAAAAAAACGAAACAAGTTGAGGCTAAGAAATTTTCAGATAAAATCAGCCATCATAAAAGCGTGCATGGATCGATTAAAAAATCAAATGAAGCAAGGTATTTTTCACAAACCTCATTGTTTATATTAATACACGAGTACTGTACGTAGCGATTAGTTAATTGATAATCGTGGTTTGTGGTAGCGAAAGAGAGCACATTTTAAAACAGAACAGGATATTATCATTTACGCGCGTTAACCACATAAGTACCGGATCGTGGCAGTGTTTTTGTACCCAGCAGGTTCTTTCATTTTTTCTTCGACGGATAGGGAGGTGTAGCGTAGAATTTCCGTTCCTTTCGTCCACTTTTCAGTAGAGGAGTGCCTGTTGGATTATTGGAAACAAGATGTATTGATAATGATCCTATTTATATGATTGACATTGACACTCACCCATATAGCTCTTGGCGTTCAACGTAGCGTACGACCTTTGCTGAAGGTCCTCGTCGCGTTCGGTTTCCGGATCAACGTTCACAAATTGGGACCAGTAGTCGGTTGGAATGTTGAGTAAGCTATCCAGGACCTGAAATATTGCGAAGAATCGTTTTTCTTTTTTTTCACTTCCACAAACTAAAGATGTTCGATCTTACATTGAACTGGATAACCGTTTCGGCAAAAGTTGCATGTGAGTCCAGGTTTTCGCTCGAGTAGCCTACGATTGTCGGAGCAAACACTCGCGCCAGATTGTCCAGTGGCATCATTACCTCTTTGCATTCGGCGATTCGCTGGAAGTGCTGTATCAGATAGGCCAGCGTATCGCGGTTCGACTGAGGCAAACTCATAATAGCATCGTACAGTTCCTTCTGCTTTTGCTTGGTGGAAATTGCTTGCACCGCATTGGAAAAGGTATTCCACAGGGCCGTCGGTATCAGTGGCTCCCGCAAGGATCGCAAAAAGTCTTTCACACATCCGCACAGTACGTTGATGTCAACTGAACTCAAGTTGGGAACGGTTTTACCGCTGATGAATTTTTCCTTCAGTGCACGAACTTCCCTTTCGGAACCGGGAATCCGATAGATGCCAACCTCGGTCAGTCCGCGTGTTTCGATTTCATTCACACAATGCACAATCAGGCCTGGAATCATTGGTCCGATGTTAGGTGTGTAGTCCGCCAGGCAACCGGTGAATTTGCCCTTGGATCCGGGCGTTCCTCCACTTTGGGGAACGCACGGAATTGACAGCTGATCGCGGCAGTCCGCATGGACAACCACCTTACATTCCCGGCAGCGCAGGCCAGCAGAACCAAAACGGATTCTAAAAAAACAAAACAAAAGCATTTACCTGTAAGTCTATTCTCACGACAGCTTAAAATTCCTCGTTAAACCTACCTCTGCTGACACTGAGCGCAGGTTTCTGACTTCAGGAAGGCATGCATCTTTCCGGTGAATGCGTGCTGCCTCATAATACTGCGTTTAACGGTGGGAGTCATCACGTTACTTTTGTAGCCGGATTCGACTTCCTCGATTGGAGGCGCTGATGGTGTGTATAAATTCATTTTTGAGAATTTCTTCTCCGTGCTGGAATTGAACAGTTTATTAGTAAAATTGCACCGAAAAGACTCCTTCATTTTCCTACATACTTTGTAGGCGTTTTGAACTCGTTAGGGGAGATATTCTCCTTCGCACCGGAATTTTTCTTGGGTGTTGCCTTTTGAAGAATCGAGGGTTTGGATAAAAGGTCGAATGTGGACTGGTGCGAAGGCACTGCTTGAATAATTGACTCAGCCAGAATTGGACCATCGTCCTGCGGGACGGACACCTTGGTATGCGCTATGATCTTTTCATTTGTATCCAGTTCGATCACCTTCTTGGATTCCTGAACCTGGTTCTGGTTGACACTCTTCCTCTTTGAGGCATCGTGACTGAGCCGGGTCCGTTTGTTTCCAACATAAACCGCACCGGACGCATTGTTCGAAGGCCGAAGCGGTCGCAGCCCGGAGTGACGCGATACTTTCGAATTAAGGAAGTCATCTTCCGATTGCGTTAGCGAAAGATCCGACAGGAATGAACCCGTTGAATTGATGTCGTTGTTGCCATACTTATCGCTTCGATTGTGAGTTGACTTCCGTTTGTATGAATAAGCGTTCATAAAAGCTAACCGCTCCCTCGTCTCATCCTTGATATCCCGCTCATTCCGAACGATATCGCAAACCGCGATCATCTTCTTTTCCTAACAAAAAAAATGAGACATTCTATTATTGATACCATAAATTCCAATAAGAAACACAACTCAAACGCACCACAGCTTCCCGTTCATGTTCCGCATGTCGACGTGCTTTATTCTCCTCCTCCAGTAGTTTGCGAGCATGAAACAACTTCGATTCCAAATCGGACATTCCCCGCAGCGCATTATCCAGCTCCCGTTGCAGTCGTTGCGCTTCCTGCACCGCCTTCAGCCACTGCAGCCGACACTCGTCCTGTAGCTGTACGAATTTCAAAAATTCTGAAAATCAAACCAGTCATTAAACTTTCTGCTGATTAAACCAAACCAAACAACAATCTTACCCATTTCGGCAGTTCCTTCCCGCAAAACATCCGAACAACGCCGCAGCTCATCGAACTGGGCTATTATCGATAGTTCCATCGTCATCCTCCTCTGCTGGTGGATGGAACCGGATCAAACCAAACAAAAAAAATGCCCGTCGTCCTTCAACAGGATAACGCCACAATTTTCAATCTTCTGACTTCTTCGCACCACTTTTACCCCAGCCGATCCATTTGATCCGGAGGTACTAAAATACACAGAATATTTCCGACAACTTTTGCAACAACCCGCACGAAACAAAAACCGTTTATTACATCAAAAATTCACTAATAAATCATAAAATCACACAGGCAGTCAGGAAACGACGATGCACAGAGAGGCATGAAAACGACGGTTATTTTTCCCGTCAACACTCTACAGAGGAGCGCACTGTGAGGGTGCGTACAGTGCGAGACCGAGACGACTAATACATAGGTGTAACAGTCGGAAGAAGTGTTAGTTTGTTTACTTAAATGAACATTTTCTTTACTTATAGCAAAAAAATGAACAAATGTAGTTTTGTATAGCAAAATAATGAACATCCGTCATATATGTTTACAAAACCGTTTGACTGTATTGGTGAGAAATTATTCTAAGGAAATTCCAAGGGGCTGCTAAGCCAGCATTTTTCTGTTGCTGCTATTTTTCACTCACACACGTTAAGTACAACCAACGCAAAACAAACACATGCGATGTAAGCGGCAGCTGTAAAATATGCAATACAGCCGCAAAGTTCGTATGTGTTGTTCGAGTTTGTTATGGGCCATAAATTTATAGACCAGTTAAGAGGGTACTGTCAAATTTGTGAAATCCCATAGTGGAAACATTAAATTTTCATCAAATTTTGATGTCAGTCCTGTGGGAAATTCAAAATTCGACGTGGTTTAGCTAACCGGTTTAGGGAAATCTCTTTACTCTACAGTGTTTAATATTGACAGATTGAAAAAGCCGAACTCTTTCGACACTATCCATCAAGCCATCGGCTAAGGACAATAAGATCGAGATGTGCTGGAGTACACAGAAAAACAAAACTACCCACCGCTTGGGTTTTTTAAACTCAAATTTGAGTTATTTGACCTCTGCCCGTTTCATTTCCTCTCGCTATTATTGATGAAGCTCCTATTAGGTACTGCAGCGTGACGTCACAAATGAACTCAGTGTAAATCGGCTGAACCTTTTTGACAGTTCAGTGGTACTGTTTACAAGCACTTAGTCGTTTTTTCGAAAAAACAAATTCTAAAATTTCCGAATTTTAACTTGAAAATTGTCGAGGAACAGCGCGTTGAAAGGATGTTGCTCGTGGACATTGCAGAAGTGTGGTTTACATCTCACTGCAGTCTGAAAAATTATCGAGAAAATCCACCCAAGAAAAAATCGACTAAGTCCACGTAAACAGTACCACTAAAGTGTCATCAGATTGAGGTTAACCCCGACGGTGCAAAACCTAATAGAGTTGCACGCTATTTCAAAACTAACCAAATCTGGGTAGTTTTGAAATAGCGTGTGCACTCAAAGATAAATTAAATCAAAAAAGCTTAAAAAGTATGCAGATTCACGCTTCACCTTATTGAGTCCGAGCCATGATTACTTAGGTAGTAGTCATGTATGATTAAAATCTAAATAATCTTTCCAGTATTAAATTTTATTCTTTTTCAATACTGATACATAATCAAAAATGATTCAAATTCAATCAAAAATTATTGAAATAGAATCAAAAATGATTAAAAGTTATTCAAAAAAAGATAATCTACAATCTAATCAACCATGATTAAACTGGGATTAATATCAGATGCTTATTTTTTAGAAAGAGAGGATTATTTTTTAATCATTCGATATGATTAAACTTAGTTTAATGTCAAATTGATTAAATTTCAAGCAAAATGGGAATAGTTTAATTTATCAGTGTGGAGTGTAGCAAGAAAGTTGATTGCATAATTTACCAAACAAACCCGTACACTGAACCAAAACATCCGCAATACTTCAAATGATTATTGCATTGCTCGAGCCCTTTAACAATATGCCTTCGAATTTCGGATGATTTTGTTATGGTTGAATTCTTCGTCAGATGATGAACATCCATATATGACTGTCATCCTAATACAGGATGATTTTCGTTTTAAAAATAAGCTATAAAACATACGGCACTTAGAGGACAAACATTTAAGAATAGTGTGGCATACAAGTGCTTTTAATTAGATTTATAATTTGATTATCTACAATTCCATACTGAATAGCCATAATAAGCCATCCCTAATAAAAAATACCATAAACGAACTGTATCCCGGATGGGTAAACTATCCCACAAATGGTTTGGATGATACCCCGAACACGTCGTTAAGCTCTCTTTTATGGTTATTTTTATTAGGAATTCCATTATGGATACATGTGGTGGAGAAAACCTCATCCACCACGAATTAGCCAAACATTGGTTTTCATCCTTTACCTATGTTCGTAACAGTTCTGATAGCGATGCATATGCTTCCACCTCGTTTGGCAGCTCAGATCAGCAAATGACGTTCGATAGAATTATTTAAATCATCGTTTTGAATGATTTGCGTTATGGGGCTGAACCTAGGGCTGAACCAATACCATATGCATTTCTATTTAGTATGTCATTCTGCAGAGAGCATTACGCATATCATAACAAGTTTCATCCTGTATTCGAGAGGAAAATCATCTGATTTCAACACAACTGTCATCCGGTTGCAGCTATCATTTGAAAAAGCTATTTCGTTGTTTTGTTTTGAATGGTCTGAGGTTTCATTCGATCAGAGGATGATGTTTGTGTACTAATAACCGTTGTGTAAGCACTCACAATATTCACAGATTAAAATTAGTTTAACAGTTGGCTTGGAACGCCAAAATAAGCGCTTGTTCAATTTTTGTTCATCTCATTTGTTTGTGCACATTGAAAAAATATGTAAATATGTCATAATTTGCATTTTTTTCAATTCAAATGATCTTTATTTCTTGTGTTTGTGTGGTTTACATGTATGAATTTTTCAAGTGACACAGATGCGTCTTTTCAACTTTAGTACAGTGAGATTTTAATTATTAATTACAGTTCCTAGTCCTATCAGGCCTGTTATTAGAGTATGACCACCTTGGTGGGATTGGTTTGTTTTGAATTTGAAAAAGGAGACTACTTATAACTACTATTTACAACTACAATTAACCTGTAACTACTATATACACCTAACCTACTATATACAAATTGCTTATCAAAGCATGTTCTGATGTAATGCATTTCTGCATAAACCTAGTCTTAATGTCATCAATTTTGAAATCTAATTTTGGAATGTTCGCCTCTTGGTGGAGGTCTGAAATTCTTGTGTCAAAGGGACGATCAAGGATCATCCTAAGCACTCTGTTCTGAGCAACCTGGATTTTGTTCCTGTGAGTCTGAGCACATGATTCCCACACCTGAGCTGCGTAGAGGATCGCAGGTGCTATGATTTGTTTGTAGACAGCCAGTTTGTTAGGAGTAGGAGTTAAGATATTGACTATAAGATATACGTTTTTTAATGTTTTTTTTATGTTATGACCATGCTTGAATGTATTTTTTTTTACCATAGTTGATAAGGTTAAAATCATTGGGGCTTCATCCAGCCTGTTGATGTAAAACAACAATAAACAATAGAAGTCTTGTGCACTTCCTTTTCGTGTTCTATGAAATTCCGCGAGAATATAAAGGAGAATTCCTAAACATTTACTCATCTTCGAGCTGTAATTTAGGCATTCTTATGATATGGACCTTTCTACAAAAAGTCATGTGGACATGTTAAAAAAGTCATAGGAATTTATTCGAGGAGTCATAAGGGTAGTAACTAAGAGTACTAATATACTATAAGTACTATGAAAATCCTCGATAAGTTCTATTCGATTTCCCTAGAAATCCATTTCACTTGTCAGTGTTGAACTAGCCTTCGGATAAAAATCACGTTCATAACGTGAAGGGAAGTAAATCCGTTGGTCCCCGGTTCACGAGTTGATGGGTGGATAGTTAGGGTGCTGCCTCCCTGGCGTCGGTAGCATTGGTGCTCAGCACGGAAAACAAATCCAAGGAAAAAAAAAGGTATTTAAAAAACGTTTCACTTGCAGTAGGAAACGTATGATCTTATGCGGGAGGACCTATTCACCTATTTTTTATAGTTCTGTAGTACTATCCTAAAGAAGCCCTACCGTGAAGTGCCATAATTTCGGGCCCTAAGTTTCTAATCGGTGCATTTTTTTAAAATTCTAATTAGTTTTTTAATGATGATAGGTATTTTGAATTAAGATAGAAACTAAAATAGGTATAATTGACTAGTGTATGGGAAAAATAAATATTTAGAAAATATTACTATAAACCACCAAATGTTTAAAAAAAAAATGCGCGAAGTTAGGCGACGCGCGAAATTATGGCAATTCGCGGTATAAACTTCCTCAAAAAGTATAATACTCTATCGCAATACGCTTTATGAACTTCTCCGGAATTCCTAGTCACTGTTACAAGAAAACCTATGCACGTTCTCAAGATGAGCTTCTTCCAGGGGAAGTAGTGTCAGTGTCACAGAGGAGAAAGATTTTACTTTGAATAAAAATAAAAATATTGAATTTATCGGTAATTCTGATAACCAGGCATGGAAAATCATTTACATTCATTTAAATGAATTCCGTAAAATTATGTACATCGTAAATGTAAATTATGCCCCCACTAGCGGCGGGGGATGATCGCGGTTGTTTACCAGATAAGCATGATCGGAAGTGACTGGTCCGATTGGGACGTTGAACTGCAAGTCCACCGGAAGGATTTTGCTGCTGTTGCGTGGGTTTGATGACATTCTGTTATTTTTGCGATGGGTAAGGTCCCTGCTGAGATTGCTGATGTTGTTGCTGTTGGGCTGATGCAACTTGTTGTTGTTGCTGCTGCTGTTAAAGCGATTAACCGTTGCTGCTGGTCGGTGGACCAGAAAGTAGATGTGATAGTTGCTGAAAGTGACACAGATGACGAACCAGACGGCGGTGTCATTGAATTGCTCGAGGCTTTTGAACTGACTGGTGATGAATTGATTATTCCACGGTAACTAGGAGCTTCAAGTGGATGGCGATTAGATTGGGGAAATTAGGCAGGAGTACTGAAAGCACTTACCTGTAGGGGAGTTTCATTTTCCATGAAGGAAGAACCGGGTCCGTGCGGATGACTTACTTACTTCCTTCCACCGGGGGCGCTGTCCAAGACAACAACCAACGGTCTACTTAATAGCTGACCTATACATTTTATGAATAATCAACAATAGAAATTTGCCAAAAAAATATAAGGGGATTTAATAAGAATTTATAGTTTTAGTATATGTCCAGCCGAAGCTAAGACAG